GGAATACACGGAGTCACTGTACCAGAAAGAATTGGTCAATGTTCATCCATTTCATGAGGTGGCATATGATCAGGAATACCCATTGAGATGTTTCAACTAACAGATGCCATATTGGAGGCACTCACTCAACTATGCCAAGAGATTTCGAAGACAGCTACCTGGCCAACTGACTGGGTTCAGAGTGGCCTGGAAGGTGGGAACCAGGAGGAAAGGTGGCGAGGTAGGTTTGGAATGGCTGAGGGAGACGACGAAGTGAGCAGAGCAGTTTGGAACAGCTAAAAGAGACGGACTTGTCTGTCAGTTTGTTGTACTGTGGTAGCCTGTGTGTTGCTGTGAGGCTGGAAGCTATGCCACTGGTATTTTAATTGCTAGCAGGGTTACCCACGGTGGACAGGTTTCAGTGAAGCTTCCAGGGCAAGACTCGGAAGAAGGAAGAGGCCATCCACTTCTAAATATTTGTACCCATTCCAAAGAAGGGTGATCCCACAGAATGTGGAAATTATCTAACAATATCACACACTAGTAAAATCTTACTGAAGATAATTCAAAAATGGTTGCAGCACTATATTGACAGAGAACTTCCAGAAATGCAAGCTGGATTCAGAAGAGGACGTGGATCGAGGGGTATCATTTCTGATGTCTGATGGATCTTGGCTGAAAGCAAAGAATACCAGAAAGATGTTTACTTGTGTTTTATTGACTATGCCAAATCATTTGATTGTGTGGATCATAACAAATTATGGATAACATTGAGAAGAATGGGCATTCCAGAACAGTTAACTGTGCTCATGAGGAATCTGTACATAGATCAGGAGGCTGTTGTTCGAATAGAACAAGGGAATACTGCATGGTTTAAAATTGGGAACAGAGTGCATCGGGGTTGTATCCTTTCACCATACTTGTTGAATCTGTATATGCTGAGCAAGTAATCTGAGAAGCTGGACTATATGAAGAAAAACGTGGCATTAGGATTGGAGGAAGACTCATTCACAACCTGTGATACACAGATGACACAACTTTACTTGCTGAAAGTGAGGATGACTTGAAACACTTACTGATGAAGATTGAAGAGTACAGTCTGCAATATGGATTACACCTAAATATTAAAAAAAAAAAAATCCTCACAACTGGACCAATAAGGAGCATCACAATAAATGGAGAAAAGATTGAAGTTGTCAAAGACTTCATATTACTTGATTCTACAATCAACACCAATGGAAGCAGCAGCCAAGACATTCATTAGATGATATATTGCATTGGACAAATGTGCTACAAAAGACCTTTTTCAAGTGCTAAAGAGCAAAGATGTCTCCTTGAATACTAAGGTGGGCTGAACCCAAGCTATGGTATTTTCAATCACCTCATATGCATGTGAGAGCTGGACAATGAACAAGGAAGACCAAAGAAGAGTTGTGGTGTTGGCGAAGAATACTGAAAGTACCCCGAACCACCAAAAGAACTAACAAATCTGTCCAAGAAGTGCAGCCAGAATGCTCCTTGGAAGTGAGAATGGCCAGACTTCATCTCACCTACTTTGGTCATTATGTCAGAAGGGACCATTCTCTGGAGAAGGATATCATGCTTGGTAAAGTGGAGGGCCAATGAAGACGGGGAAGGCCCTCAACGAGATGGATTGACACAGCAGCTGCAGTGATGGGCTCAGGTATAGCAAGGAGCATGAGGCTGGCTCAGGACCAGACAGTGTTTCGTTCTGTTGTACATAAGGCTGCTGTGAGTAGGAGACAGCTTGATGGCATTTAACAACAACCGCAACAATTTCTGTTGGTTCTGTTGTAATGTCACCCAATTCATTTTTTATTTATGTTATTTATATTCTTTCCCTCATTTCCTTTGTTAAATTTGCCAGTGGTTTGTCAATTTTATTAATCTTTTCAAAAAACCAACTTCTAGTCTTACTGATACTTTCTATTGTCTATTTTTTGTTTCATTTATTTCTGCTCGAATCTTTATATTTCTTTTCTTCTGGTTGTAGACTTTTTTTTGTTGTTGCTCTTTTTCTAATTGTTGGAGATTTTGGGTTAAGTTGTTTATTTTGGGTCTTCTTTTTTGATGTGTACATTTATTGCCATAAATGGGCCTCTGATCACTACTTTTATTCTGTCCCAAAGATTTTGTATGCTGTGTTTTCATTCTCATTTGGTTTAAGGAATTTTTTTATTTCATTTTTTTATTTCTTCCATTACCCAGTCATTTTCAAGGAGGATGTTAGTCAGTTTCTCTAAGCTATAAGCCTCTTAAGAAAGGGTCCCTGTCTTACATGTTTTATTAACTAAGTTGACACCTTCCAAGGTGCTAAATGCATAATTTCCCTTCAATAGATATTGTGTTTGCTTCCTCCCTTCTTTCTCTCTCTTTTTTTTTTAACTCCAAATAATTAGGTTAAAGAGTTAGATCCTTTCACGAAAAATACAATAAAATATTTTGAAAGAGAAGAAGTTAGATTCAAAGCTTTTAAAATAAAGGTGCTTATTTGAAATCAGATCATGACTAGAGTTGGCATTCTGTATAAGGGGCCACATGTATAATGATACTGATGTTGGGGGAAAGAGAGTGTGAAATAGAATGAAGGGGCAAATTTTCATTATTTTGTAATTATTTACTGAGCACTTATTATAATAATAACCAATATTTGATGTACATGCCAGATGTTTTATATACATTATATCATTTAATCCTCACTGATGTTCTATGAGATAGCTACTATTATTATTTCTATTTACAGAGAAGGAAGTGGGCTTAGTGAAGTTAGTTCATGCTGCTAGTAAGTGCTAGAACTGGGTCTGAGCCAGGTTATCTGACTCCAAATTCTGTGGGCTTCATAATTATGCAATTGTGTGAGGAATTCTGCTAGGGCCTGGGGTTCTGTGAGACAAGGTTCCTGCCTCCATGAAGCTCATACACAAATACAAGAGGAAGATCCAGAAGCATAATTGGGATCAAAATGATCAGTATAATTTTAGAAGTATGCTTGGGAGAACTGAGAAGTTGAAATATTGGCAGTACCATAACTATAGTTAGGTATTGATAATTAAATGATTTCTTGCTGAAATTTGTAGAGATGAAGCACAAGGATCTTTTCTTGAATGTATAATTGTTTCTTCCTACAGTGTGTGAAGGCTTTAGCGTTAAACCCAGGCATCTGACGCCAAACTCTCTTCCTATCTAGATTGGAAGTCTATCAACCTGTACATTCTTCATGAAATTATTGTCTGATTCTTCTCTACTTCCTCCTTCCCAGATTTTATTTTAAAACTGTTCATTACAAATCTGGCCTCTGTGCAAACTGTCCAGCTATTTGCTGTAGCTTAAAAGAGCTCAGTCTTCAGAGCCAGCCAAGGAGAGTAGATTTCAGCTATGAAATGCGCTAGTCCATAAAAGTGGCAATTACATGGCCACAATGGTTTCTTTAGAACTTGATTTGGTAGCTGCTTGTGCCGTTTTGTTTTTAAATGTATGGCTACAATGAAGGATTCACTGCCTACTATAAACATTTTCTGGGAAAAAAGCCAAACCTTTTCCAATTGAAGACACAAATAACACTGTGCAAACTGTCAGTTTCACCAGGCCTTGGCAGGCATGACCTTCTTTCCACATAGCAGTCTTCTGACTCACTAGCCACCCAAGGGGCTGTTAAGAGCCAGAATTTCCTCTGGACTCTATTGCTGTAAAATTGCAGTTTGTTGTGGTGCCTTATTGAGCCTTGATATGTATTCCTCCTTGCAGACCCGAGGGGAAGCTGCAGCCAGCCAGCTGATTTTATACCACTACCCTGAACTTAAGGAAGAAAAGGGAATAGTGCTGATGACAGCAGAAATGGACTCCACATTTCTGGTAAGAATCAACTTGTTACTTCTTCAGATTTACCTTGTCGTGCTAAAGGTATTACTTTTGTACCTCATGAGTGGTAGAATTCCAGAGACTTACATGTACCTTATTTCTTATTTACTTTAACATCGACAATAATTTTGTCTTGTTTAAGTTCTTCTAAGTTGATGTTAGTACAGATCTTCAGCCACTTTTTCACAATTCTAAAATCTAAAGAGCTCTGAAAAGCTTTTTTCATAACTCATTTGGCCACCAAACTTTATCTGACTTGAACTCATTTGGTAATTAAACCTTCACTTGAACTCATATGAAGCCATTCATAGTCTTCATTAATTCCACTAGATGTGGAACAGTCATGCATTTTACTGTTGTAGGTCCTGTCAAGGCAATTCGAAATAACCCTATATACAGCAGAATGAGACACTGCCTGGGTCCTGTGCTATCCTCACAGTCTTGCTATGTTTGAGCCCATTGTTGCAGCCACTGTGTCAGTCCATCTCATTGAGGGTCTTCCTTTTTCACTCCCCCTCTCTTTTACAAAGCATGATTCCTTCTCCAGGAACTGAATCCTCCTGATAACACGTCCAAAGGACATGAGACAAAGTCTCACTATCCTCACTTCTGTGGAACATTCTGGCTGTACTTCTTCTAAGACAGATGTGTTCGTTCTTCTGCCAGTTCATGTTATAATCAGTAATCTTCACCAATACCATAATCAAATGCATCAATTCTTCTTTGGTCTTCCTTCTTCATTGTCCAGCGTTTGTGTGCTTATAAGACAATTGAAAAATACCATGATTTGTGTTAGGCGTACCTTAGTCCTCAAGGCAACATCTTTGCTTCTTAACAATTTAAAGAGGTCTTTGCAGCAGATTTTCCCAATGTAGTACATCACTTGATTTCTTGATTGCTGCTTCCATGGGCATTGCTTGTAGAGCTAAATAAAATGAACTCCCTGACAACTTCAGTTTTTTCTCCATTTATCATGATGTTACTGATTGGTCCAGTTGTCAGGATTTTTGTTTTCTTAATGTTGAGTTATAATCCATACTGAAGGCCGTAGTCTTTGATCTTTATCCGGAAGTGCTTCAAGTCTGCTTTGCTTTCAGCAGGCAAGGTTGTGTCATCTGCATGTCACAGGCTGTTAATGAATCTTCCTCCAATCCTGATGCACATACTTCATAAAGTCCAAACTGAAAAAACCAGACCCACTGTCATCAAATTGATCCTCACTCATAGTGACCCCCGGGTTTCCAAAGCTATAAGTCTTTACAGAAGTACATTGCCTTCCCGTGGAACAGCTGGTGCATTTGAGCTGCTGACCTTCTGGTTAGTAAGCAGATGCCTTACCCACTATACCACCAGAGCTTCTTTCATGTAGTCTTTTCTGGTTACCTAGTGCTGTTCTGACAAGAATATACCACAGATGGGATGGCCTTAACAAACAGGAGTTTATTCTCTTATAGTTCAGGAGGCTAGAAATCCAAGTTCAAAGTGCCAGTCTCTAGGGGCTGTGTGAAAGCTCCTCAGCCTTGGGCTTCAGTTCTGCCTCCTGTTCCCAGCCCACTGAAACTAGAGGCTTTTCTTCACTCAGACAGCTGCTGGCTGCTGAGACTGACAAGCTCAAGGTTGACAAATAAAAAGGTACAGTCCCGATGTTACCAAACCCTATGGCAGGCAATTAATTCAAGTCCATTGAAAGTCCCAAGGTCAGCAGAGCATGGCAGAATGCTGAACAGCAACATAGCTACATTCAATATTCAAGTGTGCCATAAGCTAGAGACCGTTCTCCAAGGCTTCTCTTTATATGTAGGAAGCAGACCACAGCCCTAAGGCAGCTACTCAGCTGCTCACAGTAGATTCCACCATGGAGTTGATAACCAGTCTTATCATGGAGAATACTACATCCAGCTGTCCAGTCACTCAACCAGGCCCAGCCAAGTTGACACACAAACTTAAGTACCACAATTCTACCCCTTGTCAACTTGGTACCTGTACAGATCTTCAATGGGTGGCATCTGTACAGATCTCCTTCACTGGATGGCTCTAATCCCCTAGTTCCTGAGTGGCTACCTCACCCCCTTGGCCTGACGGGCCCTGTTTTTCTACCTCTTGGGCATGGTAGCCCTGCCCTCTCTCAGGCAGCGGCTATGACTCCATCCCACTGGCCCACGTGAATGAGCATCCCCACACTCCAGAACCAAATTAGTGAAAGTCTAATTCTTTGAAACCTAGGGGGCTATGATGGTTTCACCCCCAGAAACCATGGTCCTACCCTTTGAGGCAGAGGCAGCTCTGCTTCCCATTTCCTTGGTCTCACTGTTTCTGCCAATTAATGCTGAAGGCAGCCTACTCCGCCAAAAATCTTCCTGCCCAAAAAGCACTCAGCTTTCTTGCTCTGTAGGCTAGCCAACCTGCTATTCTGTTTCATGCTGGTCTCTTGGCTCTGCTCCTGCTGTCTCATGCCATATGCCAAGGTCTCTCTGCCAGGGTTTCGGGTCACTCCACTCCTGTTTCCACATTTTAGGTATCTATCAGAGCAGCATCCCACTCTCTCAGTACCATAGTCTGTTGTGGTTACCTAGTGCTTCTCTGACAGGAATATACCACAAATAGGATGGCCTTAACAAACAGGAGTTTATTCTCTTACGGTTTGGGAAGCTAGAAGTCCGAGTTCAAAGTGCCAGGCTCTAGGGGCTGGGTGAAAGCCCCTCAGTCTTGGACTTCAGCTCTGCCTCCTGCTCCTGGCCCACTGGAGCTAGAGGCTTTTCTTCAGTCAGACAGCTGCTGGCTGTTGATACTGACAAGCCCAAGGTTGACAAGTAAAAAGGCACAGTCCCAATGTTACCAAACCCTACAGCAGGCCATTAATTCAAGTCCATTGGAAGTCCCAAGGTTGGCAGAGCATGGCAGGCTGCTGAACAACGACACAGGTACATGCAGGGTTCAAGTGTGCCATAAGCTAGAGACCGTTCCCAAAATTGTTTCTTATATACAGGAAACAGACCACATCCCTAAGGCAGGTACTCAGCTGCTCACAGTAGATTCCACCATGGAGTTAATTACCAGTCTCATCATGGGGAATACTACATCCAGTTGACCAGCCACTCAACCAGGCCCAGCCAAGTTGACACACAAACTTAACTACCACATAGTCCAAAACCTAAAAACCAAACTCACTGCCATCAAGTCAATTCCAACTTATAGTGACCCTCATTGGGTTTCCAAGGCAGTAAATCTTTACAGAAGTAGATTGCCCAGTCTTCCTTCTGTGGAGTGGCTGGTGGATTTGAACCGTTAGCCTTTTGGTTAGCAGTCAAATGCCTTAGGCACTATGCCACTAGAGCTCCTTATTCTAGTAGTCCAGCTTCTTAAATTATTTGCTCAGCATACAGATTGAATAATTATGGTGAAAGGATACAACCCTGACCATGGCTTTCCTGATTTTAAATTACATAGTATCCCCTTGTTTGCTACAGGTTCTACAATTAAGTGTTCTGGAATTCCCATTCTTCACTATGTTATCCATGATTTTTTTAGTCTACGTAGTTGAATGCTTTTGCATGGTCAATAAAACACAAGTAAACATCTTTCTGATATTCTTTACTTTCAGCCAAGATCCATATGACATCAGCAGTGATACCTCTTGTTCCATGTTTTCTTCTGAATCTAGCTTGAATGCCTGACAGTTCCCTGTCAATATAATGCTACAACCATTTTTAAATTATCTTTAGCAAAATTTTACTTGCATGTAATAGTAATGATATTGTTCAATAATTTCTACATTCTGTTGGATCACCTTTCTTTGAAATAGGCCCAAATATTGATCTCTTTTATAGTCAGTTGGCCAAGTAGCTGTCTTCCAGATTTCTTGGCATAAACGAGTAAGCACCTCTAGAGCTGCATCCATTTGTTGAAGCATCTTGGTGATATTCTGTCAATTCCTGCAGCCTTATTTTTCCCCAATTCCTTTTGTGCAGCTTGTACTTCTTCCTTCGATACCATCAGTTCTTGCTTGCATGCTACCTCCTAAAATGGTTGAACATCGACCAGTTCTTTTTGGTACAGTGATTCTGTGTATTCCTTCCATCTTCTTTTGATGCTTCCTGTATCATGCAGTATTTTGTCCATAGAATTCTTCAGTATTGCAATTCAAGGCTTGAATTTTTTTCTGCAGTTCTTTCAGCTTCAGAAACTGAAAAGCAAATGATAGGGGGCATAAAATGACTTAGACATTGCAAACCAGTGGGTATCACTGGTGTATGAAAAAAGTAGTTTTATAGGTTGTGTTTAGAGGTTTAACTATTTATCCTGAGAGCACAAAAGATTCATTAAAAGATTTTAAACAGGGAGTGATCCAGTCAGAGTGGGGTTTCAAAACCATTAACCTTAATTAAAGTTGCGTCCCATACATTCTGCAGTTCTAGCCTGATCAGTGTGATCATTTAGAAGACAGTTACAATAGCTTAGGCAAGAGGTGGTGACACCCTGAACTACAGCAGTATTAGTAGGGATAGAGGAGAGAGAATGACCCTAGAAATATGTAGGTGGTAAAAATGGGCAGGCCTTGGTAAATGGATTGTAGATATGAAGATTCAAAGGGAGAAAGAAGTCAGGTTTGTTAATATTACCTCCTTGTTAAGCAACACAGGGAGTTAGCATGTTTGTCTTCTTGGGTTTTGGAAAGGGAAGAGACTACTGCTCCATACTGAGTCAAGAGAACAAGAGGCAGAGAGTGAGGAAGGTAAAACAACTTTCCATACTTTCAATAGTCCTCAATGAGAGACAGACAGATGGCATGTATCTCCCTGTGTCTTACTTCCCTGCGCACCAAACTAGCAGTCTTCTAACTTTTTTTTAAAGTAGTGAGAGGAATCCTTTCTGGAAATAAAATTGTATTGTGTAAAACCCCAAGACATAACCGCTACAGAGAGGTGGAAGGACCTAAGGTACCACCATAGAGCCCCTGGGACTCTGCAGAACAGAGTTTGAACAGCACTGTTCTAGAGTGAACACAGCTGAAATTACCCTTCCCTCAGTGACTCCAAGCCTTAGATGAAGGTTGATGTTAGAGGCCCTACCGCTCAGGTTCTCAGAGTGTGGTGATATATGCCTCAAGTTATGACAATGCACCTACTTTAAAAATGGTTTGCTCTTGAAGCATGTTTGAGTTTAAGAAAGGTCAAATTGATGAGGTAGAGTTATCTACCTCAATCAGTCTTAATTATCTTGCTCTACCAGAAATAGTAGCAGGGTAAAGAAGAGGGAGTAGAGGGAGCACTGGCTGGGAGTCCAGAAGCTTGAGATCTGGTCCTGGCTCTGCCACTTGCTAGCCACATGACCTTGGGCACGTCCCTGAGCCTCATCTGCCTTGGTTTCCTTGCCTATTAAATGAGGACTGGGTGATCTCTGAGGCCCCATCCAGCTCTAAAATTCTATTAATGTGAAATAGCCAGGCTTTTGGAAAAAGGCTTTTGATTAAAAATCCAGCCTCAGATTAGTGCCTGCTTGTGAGAAATGACCTCAAAGTCCCATGGGAGGAAGTAGAGGTGAAGCAGCCTATAGTATTTATAAACTCATCTTCATCATTCTGTAGCTAGACATAGCACACTTTTGACAGTTTTTAATGGAAATGTTCCATTATCTTTTAGGGTTTGATTTTGCCATATGAACACAGTGATAATAGATAAGTGCCTCTGACCAGCTAAAACTGCAGAATGTACAGGGAACAAAAAGTAAGAGCAGTTTGAGGTAATTCTTTTGTAAGATTTCAAGAGGGTAGCCTGTATCCTGACCCCCACCTCTGTGACATAGAGGGGTCTGGTCACCATTTCCCTGCTACTGAGCTTTAGAGGATCTGTTAGGTGGCCCCTTTTCTTCTCTGGGGCTTGGCTGGTGTGTTAATTACCAATTGCTACATAAAAAATTACTGTAAAACGTGGTGGCTTAAAACAACAAACATTCATTACCTCACAGTTTCTCTGAGTCAGGAATTTGGGAGCAACTTAGCTGGGTGATTCTGGCTCAGGGTCTTGCATGAGGTTGCAATGAAGATGTTGGCTAGGGCTGCAGTCATCTGAATATTGACTGGGGCTTGCAGATCCACTTCCATCCCCATTCACATCCTTTTGAGAGGAGACCTCAGTTCCTCACCACATAGGCTTCTCCATAGGACTACTTGCATGTCCTGACGACATGATAAGTGGCTTTCCCCAGAGCAAGTGTTTCAAGAAAGATGGCAAGACATGGAATGCATGGAAATAGAAATATCATTTGACCCAGCAATCCCGTTACTAGGTATATATCCTAAAGAAGTGAGAGCCAGTATCAGAACAGATATATGTACACCCATGGTCATTGCAGTACTATTCACAATAGCAAAGAGATGGAAACAACCTAAGTGCCCATCAACAGAAGAATAGATAACTAAACTATGGTACATACACACAGTGGAATACTATGCAACACTAAAGAATAATGTAGAATCTGCAAAACACCACATGATGGTGAACTTGGAGGACATTAGGCTGAGTGGAGTGAGTCAATCACAGGACAAATATTGTATTAGTTCACTATTATAAAAAGTCAAGGAAAGGTTTATGTATGGAAGGACTTTCTTTGTTCGTTACTAAGGATGGGAGGGTTACCAGGGATGCTAGATAGGTAGAGACAAGTATTGATTTGGGTGAAGGGAAGGACAATGTACCAAAAGTGAGTGACCACCATAATAACACTAAGGAAGACACAGAGAGGTGCACAAAAGGTACAGACAACAAAGATAAACCCATTTACATTTATAATACTGCATTGTTGTTGTTGTTAAGTGCCGTCGAGTCGTTTCCAACTCATAGCGACCCCACGCACAGCAGAACGAAACACTGCCCAATCCCGTGCCAGCCCCACAATCCCTGCTATACTTGAGCTCATCATTGCAGCCACCGTATCAATCCATCTCGTTGAAGGCCTCCCCCTCTTTCGTCGACCCTCCACCCTACCAAGCATGACATCCTTCTCCAGGGAATGGTCCCTTCTTACAACATGACCAAAATAGGTGAGACGAAGTCTGGCCATTCTTGCTTCCAAGTAGCATTCTGGCTGCACTTCCTCCAGGACAGATCTGTTAGTTCTTTTAGCAGTCCATGGTACTTTCAGCATTCTTCACCAGCACCACAACTCAAAAGCATCAACTCTTCTTCGGTCTTCCTTATTCATTATCCAGCTCTCACATGCAATCACCTCACATACAATTGCCTTGTATGCATGTGAGAGCTGGACAATGAATAAGGAAGACCGAATACTACATTACCAATGATAAACATTAATCTACAGGTAAGTAGGTAGGTAGACAGGCTGAATGATGAGGTATGTCTAGGCAAAAGGAAATATACCCATGACCATATATAAGGTTGGCAGATAATATTTCTACATACATATTTGTATGTGCTATAGGAAGCCTAAGGCATTTGACTGCTAACCAGAAGGCTGGCGGTTCAAACCCACCAGCCACTCCTCGGAAGGAAGGTTGGGCAATCTACTTCCATAGAGATACTGCCTCAGAAACCCAAGGAGGAGTCGCTATGAGTTGGACCCGACTCAACAGCAGTGAGTTTGGTTTTTGTTATAAGAATGTCCATATAACTAGAGCTAATAGGGGACAAAGTTATGATACTTCTTAGGCACAGTCAGCCACCCTCATGGAGCAAGTTATTGGACCTGTGGGCTCGAGACAGACCACGGTTACAGGGGACATCGAGCACAATTGGCATGACATACTACATGTTGTTTTTGTTACTTATAGAAGCATTGTTCTACATCCTACTTTGGTGAGTAGTGACTGGGGTCTTAAAAGCTTGCAAGCAGCTATCTTGCTGCAACAATGAGTCTCTCCTCATCCAGATCAAGGAAGAATGAAGAAAACCAAAGACTAATGGAAACAATTAGTCCAAGGGACTAGTGGACCGTGCAAACCTCAGCCTATATGACCATGAGACCAGAAGAGCTAGATGATGTCCAGCTACTACCATCAACCACTCAGAAAGGGATCAGTGCAGGAAATCCTGTATAGAGTGGGAGAACAATGTGGAAAACAACTCAAAATCATAAAAAAGACCAGGTTTACTAGTCTGATAGAGTCTGATGAGAGCCCCAAAACTATGACCTCTGGTTACCATTCAGGTCCAGAATAGACCTCACTCCTGTGGCTTCCAGCCAAAGAGTAGGCAGACATACAGGGTGAACATTTACATCAGGCAGACGTACTCCTTAGAACGATCAGTCATGGGAGAACAGAAGGGCAGTATTTGCACAGGGAGATCGTTCAGGGGGCAGGAATGCATTAGAAAGGACACAAGAAAGAGATAACTACAGGGAGGAAGTAGGAAGAAAGCTGTTACACTGTGGGGAATTATAGTCAATGTCACAAAACAAAATGTGTATGAACTTGCTGTATGGAAAACATGTATAACTTTCACCCAAATCACAATAAAAAATTTTTTTTAAAAAAAGCATAAGCTTTTATGACTTCCTAGCAGAAGTCATTCTCTAATATTCTGCCAGTCTGTTTTTAGAAGTGAGTCACTAAGTAAGGCCCACACTCAAGGAAAGAGGAATTAGGCTCCACCAAAGGAAAGAGGATCAAAGATTTGTGGACAACTTTTAAAATTACCACAGCTGGCTTTGGTACTAGTTTTCTAACTGAGGTGGTGTTAAGAAATAGGTTTTATTCAGATATATGTCTTGCTAGTCAAGAACTTAGCACTCATAAGTTGGTTCTTAGAGCTGGGTAGCTATTACCTTTTCTTTCCCATAAGATACTCTTAATAGTTATTAAAGACCTGAACAAAGAGGGAAATTTTGAAAGTATGCATTATGTATTCTGTGCACATTCACCAGATGCCACTATATACACTATATACAAAACAAGCCATGATCTGTATCTTTGAGGAATACATAGTAGGGAAGACAGACTAAAAGAAAAAAGGACAAATACAGTGCAGTAAGATAAATGCTGTGATAGACATAAGGATGGCATATTTGAGTATACAGAGAAGGAACACCTAACCTAGACTTAGGAGGTCAGGGAGTCAGGGAACCTTTCTAGAAGCAGCAGCTCCTGGATGAGAATCCCCACCTGCAGCAGGACTCACAACTTGGTGGCCCTGAGCAGGGAAAGATCTTACTACTCTTTTTTACCTTTCAGAATGTTGCTGAGGCGCAGTGCATTGCCAACCAAGTTCAGCTCTTCTATGCCACTGATCGGAAAGAAACCTACGGATTAGTGGAGACCTTTAACTTCAGACCAAATGAGTTCAAATATATGTCTGTCATTGCCGAATTGGAGCAAAGTGGACTTGGAGCAGAACTGAAATGTCCCCAGAACCAGGATAAGACTTAGAGCTGTAAGAGTTGGCTCCACTCAGGGTCTGCTCAGCCCTGGGTAGCCTAGAGCCCACCCACTTGGACTGCAGAGAGCTCAGCTTATAACCCTGAGCAGTCTGCAATAAGTTGTCCTGTGTGCTTATTGCAAGAAATGATCATGGAGGTGAGCCCTACTGCTTGATATTCAGGTACATAGTACCCAAAGATTCTGATAATTATTTCCCAGCATACATGAGGTTTCCTTTTAAGAGACTGAGGCCATACCAAGAGATAGCCAAGGATCCACAGGATCGCTAACCTGATTTTAGACAGTGTACAGTACAGTTGTATTCTAGTAATTTTGACCTCACAGCTCCCACATGTCAGTTCTTCCTCTTTATAAGTGTGTGACAAGATAATGAGTTTAGAGTCTTGCTATACTTAGATGTGGGCTTTACGTATTCTTCCATGCATTAGTTGGCTGCCCAGATATAACCTGAATATCCTTGTTTAGTTTCTAGAATTACCAGGTACTCCCATCAGGATAAAGATTTCATCAAAATGCCTCCCAGAGTTGCCTTTGGTGTAGTTGGTTTGAGGTATGAGCAGATTTCAGGTATACTTAGATACACAGGTACAGTGCCTGCATGTTATTAAACCATATCAGGGGGTACTTGCACCTCTACTTCTGCCTTTTAGAAGCTGTATATTTGAAGGGGCTATATCATTGTAGTAGAAAGAAATCAACACGTGTGCGTGTGTGTGTGTGTGTGTGTTGTTTGGGTGAACGTTCACAGAGCAAATCGATTTTCCATTCAACAGTTCATACACATTTCATTTTGTGACATTGATTGCAATCCCCACAATGTAACTGTACTCTTCCAGCTTCCTCCCTGTGTTTATCATTTCCCTTCAGCCTTCTTATCCCTTCCTGCCTTCTGAGCTTTATCCCTAGGTAAATGCTACCCTTCTGATCTCATATGATTGATTGTTCCAATGAGTGCGTGTTTCCCCTTAGTGTTATTATTTACCTTATAGGCCAGCCTATCATTTGGCTGAAAGTTGAGTCAAGGGGTGAGTTACCTGCAGGGTGTCTAAGGGCCATAGTTTCAGGGATTCCACCAGTCTCTGTCAGACCAGTAAGCCTGGTGTTTTTTATGATTTTGAATTTGTCCCACATTTTTCTACCACTCTATCCAGGACTTCCTTTTGTGATCCTTTTCAGAATGATCAGGAGTGATAGCTGGGCACCATCTAGTTCTTCTTAGTCTCAGGGTCCTGTAGGCTGGGGTTCACATGGTCCATTAGTCCTTCGAACTAATTGTTTCCTTGTGTCTTTAGTTTTTTCACTCATCTTTGCTCCATTAGAGAGACCAATAGTTGTACCTTAGATGGCTGCCCACAAGTTTTTAAGATTCCAGTCACTCTCACCACAGTAGGATGTAGAATTTTGTCTTTGTGGACTATGTTATGACAATTGACCTCAATGTCCCCTAAAACTATGGTCCTGAGCCCCCAGCCCACCAACTCATTCCCTCAAGATGTTTGATTATGGCTAAGAAGTTTTTGTAACTTTGCCCCTTATATACCCTACAATATTCATGGACATATTTGCAGCACATATAAATACATTAAATCAACACTTTTTTAAGGAGTAGATCAATCCAGATCTGCATAATTAAAAAAAAAAAATTCTAAGTAAGGCCATTATATGAAATGGTGAATGGAAGCAAATATTCCCAGATGGGTGTGGGAAAATTGTAGCAATAAAATAAAGCCTGGTTTACAGTCTTTGTTACACAAAATATTGTAAAATCTAAGCTATATGCTGTCCTCAGTGTCACTGTGGGCTGATTTCATCAAAACTAGTCTTGAGATTTAGAGCAGTTGCTTGAAATGCCAAAAATAAGAAAGGATATTTCCAGTGCTAGAAATCCATGTCATTGTTGTGGCTTCAAGCTCAGTGATGGAAAAGGATGATGACTACATGCCAGCCTTCGGAACCAAGGCCCCAGGTGCCTGCTGGGCTGTCTGCCTTCCCTGTTCTTGAGTTAACATGCTCCTCTTGTCTGCTGCTCCTGCCTAAGATCTGATTGGATGACACTGAATACGGTGAGTGAGAATTTGGCCAGTATTTGCAGTTTGTATGTGTGTGTGTTTCCTTTGTTAACAGAGAAGTTTTTATAGATTGGGTCCGTGTCCCAGCTTTTTAAATGGGATTGGATTTACCATTGTATTCTGAGCTGTATCTGTTTTGTTGTACCTGAGTCTGTGTAGAGAGAGACAGAGAGTATTTGTTTAACCTGGAGAAGCTGCTAACCTTTCACCGTTTTTCTGAAGGTTGAGCTGTTTCCTAACAAAAACTTTGGACCTACCTCTGATCCTGGCAGTCCATCTTTTGAGAAACTTTGGTCTTATCAACCCTACCATCTTCCCTAAATGCCCTACGACCTTCCTAATATTGTGAGGCCGTCAATCTTCGATAGCAGGTGGGGGTGCTTTCGTGGGTGTCCAGTCTGTTTGCCCTTCCCGCTAGATGGACCCAGTTCTTCATCATAGTACATTTTTATAACACCTCCAGCAAAGAATGAGAAAATGATGGGAAAAGAAGAAATGGCTGTTCATTTTATTATTAGTCCCAGCTTTGCTCTAAATTCCCACTTGCCAAAGAATGATATACATTACATATATGGATAATTACATTGGACGTGAGCAAAGTATTATCTAGCTGTTCTTTATATTTGCTTAGAGAGATCTGGTAAAGAACTAAAAATTGTAACATTTAATCAACAGATTTGTCACCTGGTGCCAGCATAGTGTTATGAAAAGTGGACAGTCTTTAAAGTTAAATAAATCTGGGTTCAAATATCAGCATTGATATTCATTAGCTATATCATGTTGAACAGGTTACTTAAACTCTCTAATTCTGTTTCTTCATCTAGAAAAAGGGATGATAATGTCTACCTCATAGGATTTTTGTGAGAATTAACTCACAGACCACAGTAGTGTTTAATAAACCTTAACTCCTTCCTCTTCTCTACTTCCCTCTGCTCCTTCTGTCATTAAAGACAACACAGATTAGCATTTCATATGTACAGATCATTCTTCATACTTGTGTAAAGAGCAAACCTTCTCTGACTGGTTCTCAAACTTTAATTTGCTGTGGAATCACCTAAAGCACTTTAAAGTGTAGACTCTCAGGCCCCACCCTCAACCTAACAAGTCAGAATCTTTGAAGGAGGTGTTGGGAATCTGTTTTAGCATGCACTTCAGATTATTCTGATCTAGATAATTAGCCAGCCACTCTTTGAAGACCATTGCCTTATCCATTTTTCCTATAAATGCCCAGAAGTCAGGTCTTCTGGTCTTTCCTATAAATGCCCAGAAGTCAGGTCTTTCTTGCTTATATTTAACTAGGATTCAGGCTTCTCTGCTCTGTATCTCCCGTGTGATCCCCTTGGCATAATATAACTATACTACATTTGTTTATGTTTTTCTTTCCCACTAAGACTGTGAGCTCCTTGAGGGCCAGGATTTATTTCCACCCCTGTGCCAAGGACATGGCCTGGAACATAGAAAATGCTCAGTTATTTGTTGAATAAATAAATGGCAAAAAAAAAAAAAAAGAATGAATGAATGAATGAATGGCATGGGTTTTAGCCAAAACATGATCTTATTATTGTATGTGTGACCATATTTAAATACTCTGGATTTAAGATCTCTTAATTCACATAGATTCAGAACTTGGTTTGCAAATATTCCTCCTTAACAAGATACCAAGTTTTACACAAAGTCTCTATATCTCACCTAACCCACTGGCATTACCTTGGTGGGCTGTCTATTCAGTGCAGTTCTACAATCACTCACCAAGCACCTACTCTGCACACACCATGTTGGTGCCAGGCTTGGGAAGTGAGTAGAGCATGATCCCTGCTCTGTCTTGGCCACCACCTCTCTCTGGCCTCTGACTCTGTGCTTCACATCTAGAGCCTTGTCATAGTTTGCCTTGTCTTGTTCTTAGCAGGCACTTGCTAGAAGTCCATTCTCCAACTAGTTTGTAGGCAGGAGCCACATGTTCTGGTTTTTGGTTTTTTTCATTCTCTGCAGTTCTGATATTTTGTTCAGTCTTAGGGAAGAGGTACAAATGCCTATTCTCCCAGTCATTTGATTATTCTTCCATTCATATTTATTGAGCACCTATTATATGCCACACATTGTTATAAGCAAACAAGGAATGCAGCAATGAATAGGACAGATAAGGTCCCTGCTCTCATGAAGAATATGTTACTGTAGGTAAGACAAATAAATATCGGTAGTGCTATAGAAAGGGAAAAAAGATAAATAGCATAATATATGAAGTGGAGGCAATAACTTAATGGTGAGGAAAGCCATCTCTGAAGAGGTGAAACTTGAGCTTGAGAAAGACCACCAGATAAAAGGGGATAACCAAAAAACCAAATTCACTGCCATCGAGGCAATTCTGACTCATAGCGACCCACTTTGGGTTTCCGAGGTGGTAAATCTTTATGTAAATGGATTGCCCAGTCTTCCTTCTGCAGAGTGGCTGGTGTGTTTGAACCACCAACCTTCTGGTTAGCAGTCAAATGCCTTAGGCACTGTACCACCAGAGCTCCTTAATAAGGGCGATAGCAACTGCAAAAGCTGTGAAGCATGGCTAAGTTAAGCATGTTGTTTCTGGGCAGAGATTTAAAGGTTCATTGCCTGCCATTGAAGAACCCACAGTTCAGCAAGGCAAGATACAGGAATAATTACAATAGAAGACAAGCTGACCAGTGGTATCTCAGAAGAGGGGCCAAGGATGGTAGGAACCATACTGGGTTTTGTGGGAGATGTAAAGCTTTCAGGCTATGGTGCCTGTCCATGAAGAATTTGTGGCTTTGTAGGGAATAACAAACAATACTAAAGTCTCAAAGTTTCCATGCAAGAGGCAGGAGGCCCTGTAAGTTCAGAGCTGGCTTCATAATATATACATGTTAACAATAATCACTAACATTTAGTAGGGGTTTACCATGTGCCGGGCACTGTGCTAATCCCGTTACATAGATTATCTCATTTAATCCTTCTAACACCCCTGTGAGG